TGATAAACCCACTTTTCTAAATAAAAGAGAGATTGTGATGCCCAAACCTCACGCCCAGCACAACTTCCTGATCGGAGTGGGATGGGGGCCCGGAAGTGCGATAAAGGGGTGTGGCAAGGATTTTTGGGGATTTGGGGTGGAGTCCTAGGTCGGAACTAAGATCTCCTGTGGCAAGGTTCAGGGGTAGGAGTGCGAGTGTCTTCTGGCTCAGAGTTGGGGCGATGACAAATTGTGCTGCGTGGGCCGGGGTGGGGTGCTACGGGTGTCTCTGTGGGAGTGCTCGTACCGCTGCCGACCGTCGCACGTCTCGGGATCCGACGAAGACGTGCTGGGTTCTCATCGCTCGACCGTGGGACGAGCTGGTTGCGCGACCCTCACCTGCCGATGCTCGTCCGGCTGTCGACACTCCAGTACGGCAGACGGGGCCAAAACCGGGCTATGGAATCCCAGGGGACCACGAGTAAGCGGTGGTAGGGGAGGACGGTATAGAAGGGAGGGAAGTCAGAGGTAAGGCAACGAAGCCTGGGGTTAGAAGATATTGCTGGTTTCGACTATCGATATAATCGGGAATCCGTGAGTCTCGGTTGATTGCCAGTTGGAAAGCGCCCCTGCACAGTGGCTCGTTTTCTATCCGGCAGGGGTACTCAAGATACCAGGGTTTGGCAGGTGGTGATGTTGTCGGATTCACTGCCGGCGGATCTATTCCCTTTCCCAATACGATCGGTATTCAGGGTCCCTCAGGTTGTCACAATCGGTGATCCAGAAAGGAGAATCTATCGCCATGTCTCGTTCAACCGAATTCCTGCATACACATCTTCCTACGGGGCGAGATCGTGGCTGGCTTTTGTCCGCGGTCGCCCGCTGTCTTACACGTGCGTGCGCAAGGGCCAGTGGACCAGATCCTGATGTGTCCAAATAACCAGGGAGCGATCCGTCAACATACCGGCTCTGTCATGCAGCTAATTCCCTCAGGCTATCAATCTTGTTCCGTTTTGGTCTTGCACAAAGCCTATACACTCAGCGATCCACGTATGTTTGAGGATGTGGGGACCTTAATTCGTCCTGACCCGTACCGTAGATAAGGACTCCATCATTCACGTCGAGATCTGTCATGCTAAATCCGTTCGGGGTTGCGGGCCGTCCTCGCGGGGGCGCGTGTAAGCCGTGCTCGTCAGATTGGACTTTCACGGGGACTCACTGGGTTGGTTCGCTGTGGGTTGATCCATTAGCCAATCGTCTGTGCAGAAGAAGGTTCATGCAACAATCCTTCAACCAATTTTGTTTGAGCAGAAAGCAGTTATGTGGCCATTAGGGGAATATCTCGTCACCATCCAGACATACATCAAAGCACCGTAACAGTACCAAACTTCTTTCACCTACCAATCATCCTGGTGAGAACAGATCGGTGCTGCGAGCCCTGGATGATTCAGGATTACATGCAAAACATCAGGTATTCAAGCATTACAAGATCATCAGACCCATCTCATCAAGCGGATGCCAAAAAACGAAATAGTGAGGACAAAGATTGAGCTTCACATCACACAAAGCCGAAAGAAATGTGAAAAATGCAAAACAAGGGCGCCTCGCCCAGAGCCAAAATTTCATACACAAGGATTGAGAAAAGATAAAGAAAATTGCAATCCTTCATGCGCTTGTTTCCTCTCTCTCTCTGATGCGGACAGTCCGTTGTCTCGCACCCACCAACAAAGTTGTCACCCCGCTTAGTCTAGCTCGTCGGGTCGCCCAACTCCCACGTCAACTCACCTCTTACTTCGCTCATTAGCCGACCCTCACTGATCGCGCTAACCTCGAGCTTCCGAAATTTTTAGAGAGCTATCTAATCGCGCCGACAAAATTTATAGTATGCATGTGTGCGCGAAGATTCGGGATTGCAAGGATTGGAAAGAGGAGCAGAGAAGGAAGTGCCTACGCTTGGCATGGATTGATCGCGGCGTGGGGGACGTAGCCACTCTCCCTGCATCGATCTAGGCATGCAGGGCTCATGCCAATTAAACGCAGTGAAAAGAAGGAAAAAGGGCGGGAAGAAGGCGAGGGAACAAGAAGAGAGATACATTTACAATGGCGCCCGCCCAACGACTACGGTTGCATGCAAGATTAAGGGCGCCGCTTAGTCAGAACTTCGTTCCCTCCGCAGGAAGATGCGCGCAAGAAAGTGGCGCAGCTCGGCAAGAATTTCAAAAAGTCCTAAATTCCTATCTGAACTCAAAATTGCAACAAAAAAATTTCGACGAGACGGAAGAAAAGCAAAAAGAAATCAAAATTCCGAGAGCTCTCTGGGGCTCGTCCTTAGTTGAAAGGAAAATTTAAAAAAAAAACGGAAAGCTCCCGCGCGATCACGGCGCCAAAAATGTCAGTTCCCCTTTTTTGTTCCCAGCAGAGCAAGAAAGAAGCATTGCCAATCGTTATTGATCGCGCCCAACGGGGCGCGCACACTCAACCGTCTGTCCCGGGCCTGTCCCATCACCGCTGAAGGGGGAGGAGCAAAGGGAAGGAAAAGAAAGAAGCAAGGGCCTCCTCCCGCAATTTGCCCAACCTTCCCATCTCGGAACCGCTAATTGTCATTGCGCAGAAAGTGGCGCGGCACAGAAAGTGGTTCGTCGCAAGATGGTCTCGTGTCTTGCCCCGAAATTGTTTGCGATAGGATGTGTGTCTTCCGTCGGTTAATTCCCTGGGCAATGATTCACTTATGGTTACCTATATGGTTCTAGCGACAAATCCTGCTGTCATAATTTAAGTCATCATCAAACACTTCTTGACTAAAAATGGTCCAATTCCTTCCATTTCTTTATGAATATATGATTCACCCAAGTAAGACCGTCCAATTCCTTCCATTTCTTGATGAATATATGATTCACCCAAGTAAGACTAATGGGGTATATAGGAGCCAATTACAATAAGAACTTGACAAAATCGTGCGTCTCGGGAGTTGTTTGTGGATTTCTTGTTTTTTTCCGAGTACGCAAATACAAGGCACCATAGAGGCAGGACTCGTTCTCCTAGTATATGATGATTTCAGAGGATGATGTGGTGTACCAATCTGGACCCGAATTTCTTTGGGGACTAGAATCCGAAAGCTTTATACACAACTTTTACGTGTCCTTACCAGGGTAACAAAGTGGATCTGAGTCGGACCCGCCGGGATGGCGGTCCGACAAGATGGAGAAGAAGGGGTTGAGGAAGGAGGAAGTGGAGATGGAGCTGGAAGGGATAGCGCAACCTTGATGCAGACTCAACACCGCACATACTCCAACACTGCGAAAATGAAGAATGACCAAAAAATAGACAACAGCTGGGGTATACCCCCAGCGGACTGACTGACTGGACTGGACTGCCCTGGTACGACAGTGGTACCGGGCAGGACGGGACTGGACTGAAACAGTGCACGGCTTGTGGGGTCAGGCCACGGCCTGGTCCCGCAGGCCGAACAGGCAAATAGCCAAATAGGCCCTGGCTGTAGGCCAGGGCAGGCCCGCTGCACGATCCTCAAACCTGTAATGGATCGCAAAAACCATAAACACGCTATCCGCAAAAGCAGCGGAACTCTGCAATAAAGAAAGCTGAGAAATCTAGGATGCGGAGCAAGCTCCATGCGGAGTCCATGCGATGCAGCCTAAGCTACATAATGTCAAATGAAAAGCACATGTCTGGTATACATATCCTAACTAACAACAGAAAATGAAATGTTGCAATATACAATCCTAAAGTCCCGGAGGCAATTGGCTCAGTGCTGAAAGAAAAAAGAGCAATATGGCACAAGATAATGTACTGTCGCTGAACCACTAAGAGTGGGATGGTCTCATCAGGCTCAAGGTGGGAGAGTGGTAGCGAAACAAAACCAAGGACCCTAACAAATAGACCATCAGGGCGGGTAATGCTCGACAAAAGGATGACACCATGCAGGGTCGACCATGAAAAAAGGGGGAGTCTGGAATAGGGTGGAGATATGTCTAACTGAAGGCATGCAAGGGCCGACACTAGGGTGATGAGGGCAGTGGGTGAGGGAAACATGCACACAACTCACCGATTGGGGGAGGAGGGAGCTAGATCTGCGAGTAAGGAAGCCAAGATAACGCTACGGTCCCAATGCCTATGCGATACCAAGGGAGAGATGAACTCAAGGAAACCCAACTAAGTGAGAACCATCATGCGACAGATGCAAGGGAATGTACAGGGTAGGGTGGTGGCGTGAAGTAGTCACGTCCAAAGTAGTTGAAGTTGATAAGATGGCTGAAGTCGAGAAGGTGACTGAAGTCGTCGAGGTGGTCGATGACGTCGATGAAGTAGGAATCGAGTTGATGTCGAAGCAGAACCGCAAAACGCTGACATCCTGAAGAAGAGCTGATGATGGAGTACCTGATGGTGTGAGTCAGTGGGGAAAGATAGAGGATAAGAGTGTCAATCATCGTAACGCGAAGGGCGACGATGAGTGCGCTGTGGACGCTCGGAGGCGACCGTCTGCGGCTAAGGAACGGCCTCAGAGGGAGCGGGCTCGTCCTCAGCGATGTCCTCAGCCGGAGGAGGAGGAAAAGGGTCAGTCGGTTGAGCAGGGGCAAACATCTCAGCACGACGAGCACGATCATATGCACACACTAACATCTCGGCGTGCTGCAAGTTTTTGAGGGGCTCCCAAGTAGCCTCCTCATCAGGATAACCCTTCCAACATACAAGGTAATCGATGCGGGGAGGGATATCGTCGGTCACTCGACGAGATACGATGTCGGAAACGACGAACTCCTCGTAACCATCCATTATCATAGGTGGCGGGCGCTCGTACGGGCGTCCGACGAAGCGCTCGGACGGTCTGCAATAAGGACGTAGCAAGGAGACATGGTATACATCGTGTCCGCGAGCCTGTCCAAGGTAATTAGGTAGCTCCACACGGAAGCTGACCGGGCTAAATGTTGTATCGGAACCGACGGCCTGGAGGATGCGGCATGGGCCAAAAAAGCGACGCCGAAACTTGCGAAGAGTGTCCGCTTCGAGCTGTAAGTGGCGTGCGTCGACGAGCACATCGTCACCGACTTTGAATGGATGATCCATTCGTGATCGGTTCGCTTGTGCAGTCATGCGAGTCTAGGAGTCGGCTAGACTCTCGTGTGCGCGCTTCATAATCGCTGCCATGTGGGCGATCCAATCATCAAGCGCAGGACAACGAGTGTCTGGGCGCAACCATGATGGTCGTAGGAAGTCCGCGGGTACGCGAGGGTGGTAGCCGAGGTCGCAATAAAATGGCGACATCCATGTGGCTGGCGAAACAGCGTGGTTGTACGAAATCTCCGTGTGGGCTAAGTGTAAGTCCCACTGCTGGTCATCCCTAACAAACTTTCGGAGGATATTACCGACAATTTTATTGGTGATCTCAGTCTGGCCATCCGTCTGAGGGTGGTACGACGGGTGGTAAAACAATGAGAAGTGGAGCTGGGATCCGTACACCTCGTGTAGGTGTCGTGAGAATGTGCTGGTAAAGCGCAGGTCACGGTCGGAGATGATGCTGTGAGGTAAGCCGTGATCTCTCACGACTCGGTCGAAGACGATGTCGGCGACCTTACGGGCGCTAATGTGATAGCGGCACGGGACAAAACGTGCATGCTTCGTGAAGCGATCGACGACGACCAAGATAGCATTGTGACCTCGCTCAGTGGGTGGGCGGAGGGGACTAATGAAATCCATCGAGATGGACAACCAACGACCCTCAGGTATGGGTAGGGGCTGAAGTAACCCATACGGAAGGTGGTTCGCACTGTTCACCTCCTGGCCGGTAGGACACTCCTGGATGTAGGCTTTGATGAAGTCCTTGGACTTTGGCCAGACGTATAGGCGGCAAACACGACCCAACGTCTTGTGGAAGTCCATATGACCGGCAACTGCCTGGTCGTGGAACTCGGCCACATCCTGGACACGGAGCTGTCCGGTGGAGGGAACGCAGATACATGGCTCTAGTTGACCAGATCTGCCATGCCAGTACACAAGGCCGTTCTCCCCGAGGGAGTAGGAAGGAACGGTCTTGCCACTCCGCAGTGCCGAGTGGATGATGCGATAATCGGGGCAGTGGCGGTACTGAGTGCGATATGCGTCGATCACCGACTGATCAACAGTGGTGATGGAGATGGAAGCAAGATGGATGGGTTCCTGATTGTGATCAGGACGGCGGGACAAGGCATCGGCGACGAGGTTCGTTTCACCCTTGATGGGCTGAGTGGGGAAACTGAACTCGGGTAAGTCACGCCACCAACGTGCCTGTCGAGGGGAAAGCTTGGGCATCGTGAGGAAAGCCTGGACAACTGAGTTGTTTGTGCGCACAGTGAAGGGGGGCCCGCGTAGGTAATGACGCTAATGCCAGGTGGCATAAACTATTGCGAGAACCTCACGTTCATCGGCAATGTAGTTTATCTCGGCAGTCAGTAGCTGGCGGGAGTAGAAGGCGATCGGGCAATCTTCAACACGAGCCTCAACAGTCCCATCCTTCGCGATGGTTGGGGAGTAAGTAATAGGACTGTCTGTTACGGACTTCGCCAGGGCTCGATCCCTGGTCTATCTTTTGCTGTTTTGGCTGCATCCCGTTTTCGACCTGG